CATGTCTGCGTACGGCAGGTGAGGAGACGGGGCGGTGGAGATGAGGTCGCGTACAGGAACGTGTCAGGTGAGCTCGGAGACAGGTAGTGGCGCATCTTGTCGGGGGTGTGAATACAGAGGTGGAGGCTGCACTGATAGGATAATCTGTGCAATGTCAGATGAGGACGGCTAGAACAATCTTACATGCTTCGCGTAATGTAACGATGCCGAGATAACCGTTATCGAAAGATGAGGACACCGGCGAGTCCGTTTTCAAGTTTTCGCATCAGCTCGGACGCCCTAATTAGGACAGTTCATGCTTGGGTAGGACCACTTGGGTATCGTTTCAACATGCGTCTAAGGTTTGCCTTATGATCTGAAGCTCTGATGGAGTTGGTTCCATCGCAGAGGTGTCGCGCAATGCGCTGCGGCCTACTTTATCTGCTCGCAAACGCACCTCCCAGATAGATATGGTTACACAGCATAAGCCATCCGGACGTCGGAATGTATGCCTAAGCCGACTTATCCATTGGCGGACTCTCAAGGTCATCGTCCCGAAATTCAGATGATATAATCTGATGTTGTTGTACTATTAGTGGAACGATGATGTGAGCATGCTTAAGATCTTCAAGCTTGTAGTATGAGAGGGGGAGACTACGGTACGTCCTGCACAAATGATGTCGCCTTTTTGCCCTGCGTCTTCGGATCCTGGATCTTTAAAATGGCAACGCGACCGATCGAGACGCTTGCTCTGCAGATACAGCGTGTTAATGATGCGACAATTCTGTGGTGATGTTCGGTACAAGACATAGCTCCCACTACCATAATCGTTCAGGTGCCTAGGTATCCTCCGGCCACGTGCACGACGTTCGCAGCTCTAGCACAAGGCAGTTGACAGCGCACTAGGACCTGAGGCTAGCACTACAGTCATCGGCGAATTTCTCACTTGTCAAACTGTTGAATGCGATCATGCCCTCCATCTCTCGATTTGCTACGCCAGCTTGACTCGGCATCAGCATTAGTATGGAGTCCCTGCGAAGTACGAACAAAGTTGACGATCACGATCATCATCGGGCCTTTGCTGGCAGTTTTGTCGGAGGACAGCTTTGTCTTTCGGCCCGTGAGTTAAGAGATCGTGGGGTGGGGCACGGACGGGGAGACGTCTCCCACTTCCCACTGCACGGATGCGACGGCTCTCTCCCTGGCTCGACTTCAAGTCATCAGACTATGATTGTGTCCGTATCTGGAACAATACCCAGTAATGAGCGGATTTTGAGTGGATGTAAAAGACGAATTGATGAAAATAGAGGGAGAAGTAGCGGTGAAGGTCTTGCAAGAACAAGCGCTGACAAGCATCGGGGTTCTAGGCTGTATCGAAAGGCAGGGTGATCCTGCGCGCAGTATGCGGAAGGAGTGGGAAGCCCATTTTTTCGCTTCACGAGAGTCATCGGAGGGTCGATGTTGACGTCACGCATCGTGATCTTGCTTAAGAGTTAGAAGTGGGAGCAAAATGCCGTCCGAGTGGGGATGCAATTGTTAGTCTTTGCAGTCCGTGACATGCCAGGTGGTACGTGGCATTACTCCTGAATGGCTGCCGTCGTGAGTGACACATTGACAAGTGGGCACTGGAACTCAATCGCATCACTGTATCCGGCTTTGGGTAGCGGTGATGAAAGTTGGCAACATCGCAGTCTGGCGTTACGCGCCCAACGCAGGCAGCCCCGTTTTCGCACAGAGTGTTTGCTAGTGAATCTTCGCGATAGAAGCTCCTCTATCGAGTACGTAGTAAAGTATCGGGGAATTCCACTCGGGTTCTTTGTGGACATCTGTCGCGTACCACGGTTAAGATCCCATCAAGGTGGTCCTGCGATAGATTGACGTCTCGCTTGATATGCCAGCGAAACCGGCCAAACTTGGGACCCGCCTGGGTCAGCGTGACGGTGACAGTGCATTTTCCAGTAGTTGGTAGACCAGTGTGCGGCTTGCGGGACTGCATCCATCCGACGCTGCGCGGGGCAGACTAGACATCATCTTGACGGGCGAGACGAAAGCAAGAGCAACGAGCCGCGTATCCTTTGCTGGGCCGCTCGCGTTTAATACCTTGATACTTGCTGGACATGATACAGGCACAGCCGTGCCCAGCCATGCGATGCTCAAACTCCGTCGCATTGTCGCGATTGCTGTGTCGCGGAGGGCAGCGGAAAGCGGGTTAGTTCGAGGCGGAACTGGTCCAAGCCCCGCTCGATGAGCGTGCGGAGATCGACAAACTGGAGGAAATCGATGATAACATGGCGGGGGCCCTGTCGGGCGGTGACAGAAGGTGGCTCCTCCGCGGGCTTTGAGTGGCAGCGATGACTGCATTCTGCCACATTCTGACATGACTCCATGTGGGTCACTGCAGGCGACCAGTGGGCATGGGGGCTAGCGTGCCCAGTGGGCCTCGGTCTGGCCAGCTTCGCGACGTCGCGACCTCCCGAAAGCAACGTTTCAAGCTGGGCAGGATGGAAATTATCGAAATAAGCTCGCGAGCAGCATCGAAATCCTGATCTCCGACAAAGGGCCTGGCGAAAGCCTGATTTAGTACTACACATGTGCGTGATTGTGCCGCGATCCGTGTTCCGCCTTGCCCACGTCCATTTGCAGCCAAGGTTTAGCCAGTGTTAGCTTTCAATAGACAGCAATCTCCAGCAAGATAAGAACCGTGGTTCAAATTGTAAGAGAGGCCGTGGGGCGAGGCTCAATGGGTCTGCTCATCTGAGGGCTGCAAAAACAAATTAGGCGCTCAGCCACTGGTCTGCAGCGCCGAGTTTGAGACGAGGCCGCCTGTACTCAGCCCATGAGCGCTGTAGAGGTCCAACGGCGACGCGTAGGCGCGCCAGATCAGGGAACCCTTTGCGCGGAACAATGCTCCAGGAGATCAGCTCATCCACGACACGTACATGCTTTTGCGAATGGCTTAGCTGCATACGAGGCTCGTCTGGGCTGGTGGTGATAATGCGGGGAAGCTGTGAAGCCGGTGTTCTCCATGGCCAATGGAATGCGTTTCGAAATGGCGGCCATGCTGGACAGATCTGTCAGCGACACCGCAGCGACGTGGTTTCAGTTTGTCGCGCGACAAGTGCAAGACGTGCGCGCAGGCCCCGCCATTCTCACGTTGACGAACTTGGGGTACAGTAGTCCCGCGGGCTGCAGCAGAGCACGGTCAGACGGCGAAGCAGTAATCACAACAATAACTGCGAAGATGTCGTGAGAGGTCGCCGCGAGCAGCCACTCGCCGCAGGGGCCAGAGAACTGCGACCGGGATGGCCATTAGGCTTCCCCTTCTCCTACGAAATGTGATTGGCATTGGCCCGACCGCCCTTTCTCAAACGGCAAGCGGCACCGGCGATCTCGCTGAGTTGAGCATCGCGGAGGGGAAATTTTCATGGGAGGGCGGGCGGATTGCAAAGCCGTACCCTTATCGCTCCGATCGCTCAGGTACCGCACAACTTCACGCGCCGCAGTTTGGAGCATCGCCATGTTGCGACGTGTAGATGGGGTGGGAAACACGGCCGTTCGCACGCAAACAGTCCATGGGTTCGTTGCGATAGCAATGACATCAGCCCGGCCTCGCTTGAACATGGCACGTGCCCGAGCACGTCGCTGAGAGCCCTGTTCGCGTGGCTTGAGCGTTGCTTGCTTGCTTCTGAGACCAGCAACTGCCTGGCAACGGCTGGCAAATTGCGAACCATCCGAGCCGACGTCGTCTGGCCTCAGATCGAGTGATGGGGGTAGATATGGCAGGTGCTGGATACGACGCGCCCCCCACGGCTGCTTGCTCGGTCTTGTTGGTGTCAGGCCATGTCTGTTGAGCTGGCTGGATAGCAGAGAGCGCGCGGCGTGCGTCTCCGAGCGAACAGCGGCTGTGTGCGATATAGCTGCGACAGACAGTGTGCAATAGAGCCGGCTGCTGGTCCACCGTTTCGACCTGTGGCCGTGCCAGGCAAGGCCGTGTTCGCTTGGTGTCGGTCGGGAGATAACGCAGAGAAAGCATCAGCTAATCCCGCCCAGCGCCACCACGATAGTGTAGCTCTGGGTGGCAGCTTGTAGCCCCAAGTACCTCGTTCGCCTCGCCGCCGTCGGCCACGCAGCAACGGCGTGTCTTCGCCCCTCAGCAGCTCTCAGCGCTGGCCTCCGCTCCCGTTGGCCTCTCGCCGCAGTAGTCAGAACCGGTTGCTGCCGCTTGGCTGCGTGTGAAAATCCTTGGTGGTGCCCCGGTCTGTTGGGGTGGAGCTAAAAGGCCTTGACCCACCTGTGCATTGGTGGTGCAGCTCCCTGTCGCATCCCTGCGGGCGTCCGAGCGCCAGGCCTCGATTTCGCTTGCATCCTGGTTCAACGATTCCCCAATAGTCGCGGCCCTGCACGTCTTCAGCGCTACCGCCCTCAACACTCTTCTCCATCCCTCCTCCTCAGCACTTCCGGGCCCATCGCAGCTACGAGACCCTTTTAATAGGACTGCTGCAGCCAACAGGTGCTTCTTGGTTTGACACACGGCCCTACCGTCTCCTCACTCCACCGCCGCCTCGCCCACGGTCCCTTCCCCAGCGCTGCATCGTACGAGCGCCGCTGCTGCTTATACGGAAGCCCCGGCCTCGCATCATACTGCATCCTTTCGGTCCTTCGAAAGCCTCGCACTTCTCGAGAGCCTCCCCAGATCGAGCATCTCTGCCAATTCGACGTCATTGCAGCTTTTGCTAGCTGTCAACGCCCGCGTCGCACCCTTCCCTACCCGCTTCCGCCCAGAGCGAGCTTTGCAAGCCGTTCTTTCACCTATATCTGTAAGTCGGCCCACTCGACAGCCTCTCGTGGCCCCCATCACCCGGTGCCTCACGAGATCGTCGCTCCGCCTCGTGGCCGTACACTCGCTGACGCCTCCGGTGCAGACTGCCCGCTATATAATTCTTTTAATGCTCCCGACACTGTGAACGGCCCTCCACCACCACCCGTTCGACCCGCCGCCTCAACCCCACGGAGCCGACCGAATGCCTTACACACCTCCCTCCCAGCGGTCGCCGGCCTCATCAAAGACTAACAGTCCCACCTTGAGCCGGAACCACTCCTATGTCGACCAGCCTCCCCGCTCGCCAGCAACATCGCAACGGCCGTCGCTGCCCCGCTCCGTTTCATCCACCTCCTACCTGGCCAAGTCCCGCCGCTCCCCGTCAACGGTAACGGACGACAACACCGCTGCCAATGGCCAACAAGGAAACGGAAGCGTAGACATCAAGTCTGACGCCAGCCGCCAGGGCCCTTCAGCTAACGGTAGCCTCCGCCCGTCTCCTCCTCCTGTGAACGATCTTCTGATTCCCTCAGGTGCGATCACGACTCCTCCTGATTCCTCGGACGATGAAGACCGCGGCCGCAGCATCGGAGACCTCCGCGAACTCCAACAGGCACTGCAACACATCGACCAGAAGCGGATACCTTCGCCTACTCGCGAGACAACCGAGAACGTAAAGCAGCAACGGCCGCAGCCTCCCGTCACCCTGGCGCGCACGCTGTCCGCGGAAGCACGCAAGATTGCCCACTCGCGATCCTCCAGTGAGATCATGTTGTCCCAGCACATGATCCACCCCATCAACACAGACACAATCGTCAGCTCATCAGATGGCAGCGATGCCGAGGACGAGGAGCTGCGGATAAAACCGCCGCTACTTCGCAAGAAGTCTGGCGAGCTGGTCAAGCCTGCCCTTCGCCCCCCGTCCCGTCGTCGCCCCTCGAGCATGCCTGGTACTCCCACTTACTCTAAAGCCGTCCACTTCAACGAGGACATAGAGCAAGTCAGGCACTTCCTTCAGGTCGATCGTCCCATCGCTGTCAGCGCTGGCTCTTCGCCTGTCGAGACCTACGACAGTGAGAGCGAGTACCCCTTCGGAGAGGACTCGCGGTCCAAGACACCGGAGTGGGACATCAAGCTGATGAACTTCCCTTCGCAAGAGACACACGAGAGGCAAACAGCACCTGTTCGCGTGGAGCGAATCTTCCTGGCGTCTGACCACCAAACCTTGGTGGGCAACATCGCCGTGGCTAACCTGTCTTTCCACAAGTTCGTTGTGGCTCGATTCACACTCGACTACTGGAAGACAACGTCTGAAGTGGTTGCAGAGTTCAATCAGGATGTTCGCAAGAAGCAAAAGGAGGATGGCTACGACCGATTCAACTTCAACATCAAGTTGGCTGATCAGGCGAATCTCGAGTCCAAGACTCTGCTGCTGTGTGTTCGGTACCAGGTTAACGGCCAGGAGTACTGGGACAACAACAACTCAATGAACTACCAGGTCGACTTCTCCAAGAAGGTCAAGCAGCGCGAGAGCAAGCGCCCGACTGCCAGTCTAGGCGCTGTGCCTCGCAGCCGTCATTCACCATTGGCACCTCGCCCACGGTCTATGCCTGCTGCCTCCTTCGACGACGACTTTGGCCACGACAACGAGATCAGGTTCCAGTTTGGCAGCGGTCGTGCCATCATTGCCGAATCCCCAAACTCCTCCATCAAGCTCAAGCCCAGGAGCAAGCGTGTCAGCCTGCACACCGCGCAGGCCTCCACCCGGCCGCAAGTTGCCCAGGCTTTCGCATCTCGCTACGACTTCGGTGCCTCATTGACGGCTGCTCTTTCCACCGCCCAAACGGCGCTCGGTGATCGCAGCGGACTCAAGGTGAACACCCAGGGCAAGATGAACAATGGTTACTTCGACCGCCCGGCTCCTACCATCCAGGCGCCTGCCACTACTGCTCCGGTTCCCGGTACTCGACCTGACTCTTTGACACTGGAGAAGCCCGATCTTCAGTCTGCCGAGTACAACGAGTTGATCCAGAAATTCTGCTTTGTACGTTCTCAACCTCCACCTCAGCACCCTGGTAGCATGGCCTAGACGGAAACTGACTCGCATCCAGTTTGGCACTCCCACTGGCAAAACTTCTCCGAATGTCACAACGCCTTCTACGAAGACTGCCCATGGAGACGGAGCTCTGGATTACGTGCTCAACCAAACTACTGGAAGTAATCAGTCTTCGGCAACAAGTAGTCCTCCCTCGCCTGCCATGCCGCTTATGGTCGATGGTGCGAACGACCTTGTCCCTTCTCGAAGATCATCACCCTTCATCTCTCATCAAACCTCGCCCGGTCCCCTTACCGGATACTCACCCGAGGATCAATACACCCCTCAGTATCAGTATGGCTACGGCATGCCAAGTGGTGCCTTCAACGAGCGCAGCCAAACTCCTCAGGCTTGCGTTTAAGGTGCCATTACGCTACCTGAACTTGCGGGGCTTTTGCTTTTCCGCGTAACGAATCTCTTTGGACACGAATCACGCTTACGACCTGATTGATCGGACGAGTGGAGCGGACGTTCCTGGTCCGCCGGTTACTGAGCGCTCACGAATCTTCTTCACTACGGTACGAAACGTTGTTGTGGGCCAGCGATTGGCGTTCCTCACGATATCTTGTTAGAGACGATCGTCGTATTCAGCATAATCCGGACGGCTCCTTTGCAGCATCTTCCTGTCGGCTCTCTTGCATGTCTTTTATACCGGCGCACATTGGGTCTCACTATGGAGTTCCTCGGACATCTTTATCCTTTCCTCATCCTTTCTCATACCATAGATTGGTTGTAATGCTCTATGAGCGTCCCCACTCTGGTTTCGGCGTTTGTTGACGGTCGCTCCTGATCTGTGGGTTCGCAAAAGCTTGTGTTTGTTTTGCATTTTGGAGCGCTTTTTCCAGTATCATTAGGACTCGTTGATCCGATCCTCGTATATAGGCGGTAGGGGAGGCAGAGAATGCGAAAACGTCGTTGTCTAAATTGTGTCGACTGTACCATCACTTGTGCGTTGTAATTCGTTCGTATGCGGCGCTTGGGAATCTGGTCGTTTTTTCTTGGTTGGGAAGTCGCGGGTTGGAGGCTGTCGGAAGCTGTGGGCCAGCCAGCCTATATACCAGTAAATGCAAAAACATGGCATAAAACACTTACCGCGATTTCACGATGTATCCACCTTGATGTACCCCGTGAGCATGGTCCGTACCGCCGAATTGTGAAGCTATTGGTTCTGGATCGTGACTTCCCCAGCCATGTGACCTTGGTCTAAGCTCGCTAGCGTTGCTGGAATCCCGAATTATCTTCCACAACGGCAGCCGAGCGCGTATTCATCCACGACACAACTAAGTTGTGCCCTAACCGAGCCACGTCGTGGTCCCGTGTCCTTCGCCTTTTACGTGGCACAATGTCTTTCTTCGGTAGCAGAAAGGTGCCTCCGCCGCCTCCCGTTGTACCTCCGCCTGTCCCGCGCTCCGGTCCCGAAATCGATGCGACGACGGTGATATCGCTCTTGGCTGTACTCGCTCTCCTCGGTGGCGCTTACGGTGCATCGATAAAAGTCCTACCAAAGACTACCGTCCTCAAAACACGCGTACTTTTCATCTGGCATCTCTTCGATGCTCTGATCCACTTCGTCTTTGAAGGCTCCTTTCTTTACAACTGCTTCTTCGTCACATATTCGTTGCCCACCTCTTTTTCCGCTGCATCACGCAATCACCCTCATATCACTCTCTTTACTCCTCCGGATGTGTATTGGCTGGGCAGGCAGGATCTTCTGTACGGGGCGAACTACGGGACCGGTCCATTCAGTCGACTGTGGCAGGAGTATGCGAAGGCGGATAAGCGATGGGGTGGTACGGATCTAACGGTCGTGGCTCTCGAGATTCTGACTGTGTTCGTGGCTGGGCCTTTGGCATGCTGGATATGCTATCTCCTCACAAAAGACGAGAAGAAGGGTGCGTTGAGGAAGTGGTTTTGGATGATAGTCCTGGCCACAGGGGAGATATACGGAGGTGAGTCACAACACTTTCATTACCACGTTCCTGTGGATACAGAGCATGTGCAAATTGTAAAAGCCATCATAATTGGTGAGGCGAGATGTGGGCCCGGCCCGAGGATTGTTGAGACGAAACAACACTGCGTTGTTGCGAGTATGTGGCTGACACGTGGTTCACCGCTACATTAGGCTGGATGACTTTCGCGCCTGAGTGGCTGACCGGAAGCCCCAATCTCGACACCAGCAACTGGATGTACCTGTAAGTGATGTTTCAGATTCATGTTGCGTTTCTCAGTCTACCCGACTATGTTTTCTTCGACAGTTGGATGAGGCCTGGCTCGCGTGTCTGGTCCGCTACATGGCTGCGAACGTCCACTTCATCTTCCTTGTGTAACCCTTCTGCGACTCTGCACACAAAGTATGGGCTTTCACATGCGTTCACGTCTTGTTCCTGGCGTACGGAGGTGATGTGCTGGTCCTGCATATGCGCTGTCGGGCGGATGCGCCGTCTCCCGCGGACCCACTTCTCATCGCTCGACCACAACGCGATATCCGCACGAACCACGCCACCAGTATGCCTCAACAAGCCGGCTATATTATCTTTCTTCCGTTCATTCAGGTTCTCCCCTACGTTCAGTGTCGAGCAGAACTGAGCCTTGACTAACACGCATCAGCTGGCTTTACCTCGCTTTCTTCAACGGCCTGTGGGTCGTCTTTCCGCTCTGGATCTTATACGAGGCATACAAAGCTATGAGCTCAGCCATGTCGCAGGCCGAAATGGTTGACCTGGTCAACTACCTCAAAAAGGATGATTAAACCTGACTTGCATACCGTAGCAACCCGATATGCATGCATTGAGAGCACATTGACAAGGTCTTACGGCGTGCACATCATGCTTCTAGCGATCGAGCAGTATGCCACGAAATCTACTTGTGGACGTTCTGTTACACATCGTTGTTATTTCATACGATCTAGATCTGTAGAATGGACGTTATCTCTACGGACGAATACTACATCTGCTCTTACCCTCGTGCGCTCCACTCTACCGCTCTGACACTGATCGTCAAACTCTCTTTCGCCCTACCGTCAATTGTATCATCCATCGCCAATCCTTCCAAAGTCAAGATACACATCCACATCGCCAACCTAGGATAGGAAGGAAGAAGTCTTAGGTACAAGTAAGAGGTATGGTTTGGGTTCATCTGAGGAGTACAGCGGTAGTGGGGTTCATACGTACAGGAACTAGGGTCAAAATACAGCAAGGTCGTAATCATGTCTGCTTCACGGTCGCTGACCATCTATGCTACATTTTTTCGGTTACTTGCCTTGCGCATGACCTCACGTCGGAGGTCAGAGAGGCTACCTTTTGCTGTATGCGATGATGGACGTGAAGGAAGTTGAAGAAAGCAGGATAGCGATTTCTAGAAACAGCTTGGAAAAGAATAGACTTTGTGTGGTCTAGCTGGACTACAAAAAACATCTGTCTCTTTGTCAACAAACCCGTTCTTGCTGCTCTTGTGCTGAGATTAGCCATGGGCTAACGAGCTTCCGTGATGTTCTAATTTGACTACTTGAGATAACGGTATGATTCTTGCAATACCATTGGAAAGGCAGTGGCTCTTTGCTGTATTTGCATCATGTCCCCTGTCGCGTTGGTAAAGCATCACGACGATGCTTCAAGTGATGTTGGCAAGCCACCTACGCGACAGTCGCCACGAGACGTGCCAAAAACATACAAAAATGCATTTACATCATTCATTCTGGGTATCATATCATCCTATCTCTCCTCCCCCCTACCCACCGTCTCTTTCCGCCCCCCCTCACTTCTTACCCAACCCCTCAAGCACCCTTCTAGCCCCCTCAACAATCAACCCATGCTCAACCGCATGAATCCTCTCCTCCAACGCATCCAGACTCTCTCCTTCCCTCAACTCCACCTCCTGAGTAACAATCGCATCCCCAGCATCCACCTCGGCAATAACCTCATGTATCATAACGCCCGTCCGCTTTAGCCCTTCCTCTTGACCCGCCTTCCACGCGCGATCAATCGCGTGCGCGCCCGCAAACTCGCCAGGTAAAGCGGGGTGCAGGTTTATTATCTTGATGCCGGCGGCCGCGATGGGCGAGAGGAAGGAGGGCGTGACGATGTGCATCCAGCCGGCGCAGACGATGAGATCGGGACGGGGGTGTTGGCCCTCGAGGATGATTTTCGCTAGTTCCGCATCGTATTCTTGGCGGGCGGTGTCGAGCGCGTTGGGATGCTTGTCTTTGTAGGACTTGAGGTTGTGGTAGGTTGTTGGGATTGAGGCTTTGGCGGCGCGTTCGAGACCGTAGGCTTTTATGCGGCTGGTGTGAATTGTTAGTTTGATTGTACAACAAGGTAGATTTCGAGGCGGAAGTACTTGGATATAACGTGGGTTATGCGCGTGTTGGGCAGAGCGCCGGATGCGCATGCGTCGATGAGGGCTTGAAGGTTTGACCCGTTGCCTGAAATCAGGACGGTGAGGTTGTATTGGCGGTCTGGCATCCTGTATTTGGGCTAATCGAAGACGAAATGTGAAGATCCAATACGAGTATCACTGCGCTGCGTCGAGGCGATTCAGCGCAAGGTTCGCGTTCCAAAATTTGGACGTGGGGTAGCTCTGCCCCGCGCGGAGATTAGGTTGCAATCGCCGGTCTAGTGAGAATGGACGTGCTATTGGGTATACTACCTAAACTATCATCATGACCCAGACCTTTGGACAGGCTTCAGGGCAGCCTACAATGGAGACACGCTAATCGTCCCCGATCTCTCCTGCGCTTACTCAAACACCCTACCACGAAAAGAGCTATCCCCTTTACGACCGCATTCTCTTTGAGCTGGCCACTGATACTTCATCCATGTCTTCCCACTCGTCATCCTCGTCATCATCAACGACAGTCGCCCTCTTCCGCTTGCTTCTCGCGCCGACTGCGGGCATGGACGCTTCATCGGCCACGATACTCTGGCGCTTCTCCAGCTCTTCAAGACGCTCTTCAAACTCCTCCTGCTGTGAGTCGACTGCCGACTCCAGCTTCTCTACACGTTCAGCGACATCTTCCATCTGATCCAGCGCATCCGCGTTCTGGCAGTATATACGGTGCTTCAGCGCCAATCGCCAGAAGTAGTATCTCCGATCGTTTTCGTTGCTAGACTTTGCTTTCCTTGTGATTCGCGCCCGGTTTCGATTGTTTGGTGGAATGGTCGACAACAAGTGGAGCTCGATCATCCTGTAAAATTGTCTGCTCACAATCTTGGTTTCCACCCGAAGTGCTTCAAGGTCTTTACCGTTGCCAAGGATCTGGTCCCGCGGAATTGGTGAGTCCTTCCTTAGGGATTCAGGAGACAGATTGGAAGCAATTGACAGTTCCTGGAAGGCGGGCAATGTACGAAGATAGGTGATGTCGCTGTAATCCCGCATGGCATCGAAAGCTTCGCTCGGATCTTCAACTGGTATCTCGAAGATGAAGGGCTTGCTCGCTAACTCCTGGAAGATGGTGTCGTACAAGCGGCTTCCGAGCGATTGACCTTGGTATGGGGGGATAATGAGAAACTGGGAGATGCGCTCCCTTGATGGCGTCTCGAGGAGGTCCAGCTTATTGGTGAAGAGGAACGTCTTGGGGTCTTGCGTCAAACGAGGTGGCGTATATTTGCCGGCAGTGCCGTCATTGCTGTCGGCTGGTGATGGCAGTTGCTTTGTGGCACGAGCGATCTCGAAAGTAGGAAAGACCCAGGCGCGATATGACGTGGAGAAGCCGGCGAATGTGTAAGGAGAAAGTTGTGAATCTGACAAGGGCGTCACGTCGTATAGAAGGTATAGCGTCCATCGGTCGAGCGTCTCTTCGTCATCCAAACCGTCTATTGTCGCGCCCTCGATGAACAGCAGTGTCAGGATTCTCATATTCAACCAGATGCGCCTAGCATCGGGATCCGTCATGGAGGCCTTCCATATCTCGTACTGTTTGCCGTATAGGCTGAAGGTCTTCATACATTCACCCGGTGGTTTCCAGTCTGAAGACGCAGCACCGGCAGCATCGTCGATCGACTCGGGGAGGAACTCGCGAAACAGCTCTGGTGATAGATCGATCTGATTCAGGTCTGGGGAGATTTTCTTGAGGTCGAGTTCCTGGTCGAATGAGATCTTCAGATTCGGCTTAAGGTCGTTTGCGCGGAAGTCCAGCTCGATGCTGGGGTTCTTGTACCCCGCGATGGTCTCGTTCTCTTCGATGACGGTGTATGTGTAGCTGGGGTGAAAGGAGTCGTCGTAGATGCGTTGGGGGCCGTCGGCGTTGGAGGTGCGGTAGAGGTTGATGTGGAAGCACTCATTTGAGTTGGTGACCCCTACACGATGTTAGCAAAGTTACGCCGACGCTGCTCTTGCTACACCTTCGCGCAGCTCCCATGGCGCAACTTACAATCATCCAGATCGAGCTCCATGACGACGGCGTTTGTGCAATACCGTGTAATATGGAATGTGCGCTTGACTGACGCGGAGTATCTTCGCGACGTGGGTGGGTGGGGCGGTGGCAGTCGCGTGTAGCAATTAGATGATGGACGAGCAGCGCGCAAAGTGAAGGGAGCAGCTAGCGCGACGGGAGACGCGTTTTAGCGCAGCCCTACGTCGTCGCTCCCGCCCCTGCTCCCAAGCCTCAAGAAAGTTGCGCTATACGACCAACTTGTCCACATCAGCCTCACAACGCGCCAGCCCTCACCGCCAACACCACCACCACCCCAACTACCCTGCGACGGCCGACTCCTCGCGGCATGGATAGCGTCGATTGAACGTCTTACCACCCTTTTCCCTTTTCTGTGTACCGGGCGCATCTTTTCTTCGTAAATCCGCTTAGGGGACGACTCTACACGCTGCAATCATGTGGGACGGCCTGTTTATGCTGCTCGCCTTGAGCACGGTTATGGGTATTGCGTGCGTCTCTGGTCTCTACAATGTACAGGAGCGAATTCTAACATGCACAGCTCCTTCCTGGCCGGCATCCTGCCGCTCTCCTTTAACCTCTCCACCCGCCAATTGCGCATCATCACTCTCCTCGGCACTGGAGTGCTAGTAGGCACCTCTCTGATTGTTATCATACCCGAAGGCATCGAGACCATGTACAGCGCTGGAAGCAAGGCGCATGCGCACAGTGCGCGGAGTGTTCAACCTACCATCCCCTCGGTCGTGAGCCTGCAAAAAGAGATACCTCACCCACCCAAGTTCCCGACTTGGAAGAGAGCAGATGATGTCGCCACGAACTCGCTCACTGGAGGAGCGGTCAAGGCGCCGGGCGCCGTCGACATGACTAGCGACAAAGCTGCCATCGATATGCAGTTGAAGAAGATCAAGGACAGCAAGGAGAAGGAGAAGCCTGCGGAGGACGCCCACCCGCAAAAAGGTGGAGACGACGACTCGACAGAAGGCCACAAAGAGGGACACACTCGCGTGCACGCACCGGAAGACGACGAACCAGCCCATGGGCATGCTGAAGCTGGCCACGAAGACGGGCCCAGCCCACATGCATACATCGGCGTTGCACTGATACTAGGTTACATTCTCATGTTCCTGGTCGAACATCTGCCAGAAGCCCTGGCTTCCGCGAAACCAAAGTACCAGCCAATGCACATTTCCTTATCGAACCTGGCACGCGGACCGCACAACTCATCTTCATTGAGTCTCAACGGCATGGGCATGCAGAGCGCTGCAGTGACGCCTCTCGCAACGCCTGGTCTGCCTCCTCCACCCACAAAGAAGACACCAGCAGCCACAATCGGTCTCATCGTGCACGCATGCGCCGACGGAATCGCGCTAGGTGCCTCCTCTACAGCCGAATCCACATCTCTGTCGCTCGTCATCTTCTTCGCGATCATGCTGCACAAGGCCCCTGCAGCATTTGGTCTCACTTCTGTTCTTCTCAAACAAGGACTCTCAAAACGAAAGGCGCGGACACATCTCGCTTTCTTCAGTTTAGCAGCGCCAGCAGGCGCTTTGGCTACTTGGACCATCGTACACATGTTCGGACGCAACCACCTGGGTGGTGATGAAGGCTTAACATGGGCGACTGGCTGGGTATTGTGCTTCTCTGGTGGAACATTTTTGTAAGTCCACAGATCCGCCCTACCGCTTTCCGATTTACTAATCTGACGCAGGTATGTCGCGATGCACTCCATGTCTGAAGCCACAGCCTCTCAACACCCGCACGAAGACCCCACCGCGAACGGTTACATGGACGCATATCCCGGTAACAGCAACATGTCCAAGGGCGACATAAGTATCGTCATGATTGGCATGCTACTCCCGCTTATCACGCAAATAGGACACGCACACTCACACGGCCATTAGAAGGAGAAGGATATGGGTTGCATATTGTGGCGTTCCACACAGGCTGGTTTCGCACCAAGCTATCTTACTTGTTTTAGAGCGATGTTGTCGAATTAGTTTTATGTACCGTTCTGGAATGATACCAAATCTTGATCACACCACATCCTATGCACTTGATAGTCGGGTTCTAGTCTGGCATGCGCTTGATTTAAAATGCTCATGTAGTCTCCATATCACCATCGCCATGCTCCTGCACCCGCTGCCCCGCCTTTGCACCAACCACCCTGTTCTTGACCCTCTCAGGCTCGTCGGCCCCACCCCGCCTCATTCCATACATCCACCTCGCCCTCCTGTAATTCACAAGTGGCCGTCTCGAGACTTTACAAGCAAGTGTTTCTCTTGTTCAATTTAGTCTTGACACACTGCTCCCCTTTTCACCCAGCTTCTGCTATGACGAATCGTTCAGCCGTAGCAAGCAAGTTCGAGAAGGTGCTGTATGAGATGGACGTGGTTACACCAAGGACGCAATCGTTTCGAGGGCGAAGATGTATGCGTTGGATGTAGAAGCGTTGGAAATGCTGTATTTGGCCGTCATCTGTGAGGATCCTGCGCCGCTATAGCGCGATGGGTGAGTTGTGCTAGCGATATTCATGATGCGGGTCAAGGTCTATGGAGGCTCGAAAGGAGCCCGGGACGCAGGATCTATTGTAGCGAGGGCGTCGATACTGATGATGAAGCGAGCTCGTGGTATCCTTGGTAGCGAAATCAGAGACGTAGGAAATCGGAAAGTGTTATTTGGGCGAGAGGTCGGAGTCGTTGTCAGGACCCGGGGCGTTGAGAAACCTCGTGCTTAGGCCTGACAATCCAAGGCCAATGCCCTGCGCTCTCTTTCTTGTCTTTACTTTCGCAAGTCCGTCACAACCCCCTCCCTTCTCGCACAAAGTCAATCATCTTCCTCACCAAGGCATAGCCTCCGCTCCGAAATCCACCCTTTGCGCCGCATATCTCCTATCCTGCCACGTCTCTTCCTCCTCATCCTCCAATTCCTGTCCTACACCCCACCTCTTCTTAACCTTCTTAACAGCAAACCTCCCAATGCCCCAAACCGTCGCCGCGAAAATCGTGCCCGCAATGCCCGTCGGCGCCAACACGAACCCCGCCCCACTAACCACTGTGCCGAAAGCTCCAGCACCTATCGTCGCGACCAGTGACCCGATCGCAACGTATTTCGCATATCGGACGAGTTTCCAGAACGCGAATATGACGCCGGAACGTAGGACGCGGAGGAGTGCGCGCGTGCGGCGTGAGGATACGGCGTTGGGCGCGGTCTTGGGGTCGTACAGGTAGCGTAGATTGCGCCGTGTTGAGGCGAGTGCGGAGCGGGATCGCGCGTCTATTTCTTGTTCGTGGACGTCTGTGGAAGACATCTTGGGGCGGGTTGCGATTGGTGGTGGCAGCTGTTGAGGTACGAGATGGAGTTTGGGAAGGAGGTTTGCAAAGAGCGATGACGTCATTGGGCATTAAGATCGAAGCCATAGATCTTAGGACTTGGTGATTCGGACAACAATGTAATTTTGTAAAACTTATACATGTAGGCTACTTGGCTCTTGCATGAGCATCCTACGGTCTGAGACCACTCGCTCATAGACTTCGATCTCGATACCATCCCATCATGTCTTCCTCTCGCGCCCGTCACCTACTCCCGTTTCTCCATCTTGACTTCCTTCATCTTCGCTTCCATCTTCACTTTCTCAGCTTTGACCCTCGGTTCCGTCTTTATGTGCACCTCCTCTTCCTTCAGCCCCATGTTTACCTCGACCAAGTCCAACCCGCCATGAAGCTCCAGTCTCTCCCTCTTGCCTTCCTCCACACGCCCAAACTCCTCCTCCTCCACGTCTTGTAGCCTCTCTCTCTTCAGCTCCTGTTCTTCCTGCAGAGTGCGCCTACCCACCGGGTAAGCGCTGTGGTTAGACGTATTCAACTCCAGTAAAGACCAAGCGAACCTCCGTCCAGTCACTGGATCTAGGATTGCTGCACGGAAGGCCACACCGGTCATCTCGTGTACCAGGCGCGGCTTTTGGCCGTCTGATTTGTGTATTTCCGTGTCAACAAAGTAGTCGATGTCCTCTTGCACAAGCTTTTCGGCCAGGTGTTTGTGCTCGTCGGCTGCGATGATATTTAGTCGTATATCTGAGTCGGGGTCGTCCCAGCAGCGTACGGTGATCTTTATATGGCGAGTGTAGGGAGCTAGCGCGAAAAGAGCAGAGGCGTAGATCCATTTATGTCTTTGTATTTCGTTGCCGTTTTGGTCAAAGAGCAGTCCGGGCTGGATGTCATCTTCTCGTTCCCACCCTGATGGCTCGTCGGCGTAGGTGATAGCGCATAGATTGATTACAGGCTGATAAGCCGCATCGGTTATAACGCGTATGGCTAGGTAGAGGGGCGTTGGTACGCCAGGAAGGGCTTGAGCGCTGGTTGACATAATAAAGAATGGGCGATGGGTACAGGTGCAGGTGTTGTTACAGCTACCGAAGAACTACACATATCAAGACTGAAATAGTCCATGGGCCCTGATAGCGTCATGTGTTCGGGCCATGAGTCTCTCGTTTCCCTTCACTACTGCTCATGATATCATTTGCCCCCTTCTGTCCCTCCGCACGGTCCGCTGTTCCCAAGCTATTCATTAAAATACCCTTGTTGAACGTCTGCCTTCTTCCTCGCTCTCACATGTGAGGTGTCCTTGTCGCATTGCTGAAGGCCTTTGGACGCTTTCTACGCGTGGTCTCCCCCAGTCAAACGCTACTTTCCTCGTGCTGACATCGAATGGCATAAGATCAGGTGATATTGTTGGAAGCGATCTCAACGTTGCATCCGCTTCAGTCTTTCTTCAGCAGCCCTAGCACGCCGTTCTCTCTCCATCCTAGCTCTTGCTTCTGGCGTTAGCCCCCTCATCTCTTCCTCTCTCAAGTCTGCTCCAGTCTTGACAGGTAGTGCACCCAACGACTTGCCCTTGCCCAACCTCTGCTCCTTTTTCCTGATTTCCTCGGCCTCACTCTCTTTCCGCACACGTTCGGTCTCAGCCTTCCGTCGATCAGCTTCAGCCTTACTCTCAGCAGCCTTCTCGGTCTTCTCTTGAGCGTCTCGCTTGTCGGCCTCGGCTTTGGTGATGGCTGCAGGTATACCGGCCTTCTCCCAGTCCCAGGCAGACTCTCCGAGCTCCGAGCGTGCGACGCGAAATGCGTCACGAGCTGCACGGTCACCAGTCAGCGTGAAAGGAGTTCGCGCTTCATCATTCATCACAGTCGGATCGGCACCGGCCTTCGTTAGGAGCGCGAGGATGATAGGAGCAGAATTTAGGGATGCAGCAAGATGTAGTGGTGTCGGTGTGTGATGGTTGGTCGGGAGGAACTGGAAGTTTGGTGAAACTTCATTCGTCTTGAGGTAGTTGAGAAGCGCAGGAACTTTCGAACGCTTGATTATCGGTATAACCTGGGACGTGTGTAATGTCGCAGCCTCTTCTTCCTTCGTCAACCTCTTGGGCTTGGGTTTCGCTGGAGCGGGTGCGGTGGCCGCAGCTTCCTTCTGAGAATTATTAAGAGCAGCAAGCGCTGCTTCATCAATGGTACTCTGTTTTACTCGAGTAAGCTCAACAAATGCACGCATCAGCTCTTTCTGAGTCGCTCGCCGTGTACTGAAGGGAAAGCCTCGGTTGCGTGGGTCATTGTGACGCAGGACCTGTCCTTCATACGGACCAAACAGAGTCCTTCGGTTCGTCGCGCCGGTCGCGCGGACAAATACCAATTCTGCAGTATCGATCATGCTTTTCCAGCTAGAGAGTAGCTCGCGGACTTCGGCGATGAGTGCGGTCTCGTTATAGCGACGAATGGATGAACCGGCCGAGTGTGCGTTGCCCTTTGCGTTATCGTTCGCTGATTGCGAACCTCCCTGTTTCCGTCGTGTAGTGTATCTGTGGAAGGTCTTATGCGCAATTACAGTTGCCGAACGCTCGTCGAATCCAGTGTGATTCTTCCCTGTCTTCGGTGCCAGCGCCACTATCATTGCAGCGAAATGGCCACCGCCTATCATACAGAGAAAATAATGCGGCCCAATGTCTGTGCCTGGTAGTGGGACACCACCCTCATTCGCCTTGATCTTGAGAGGTTGATTCGGGGATAGCTGCTTTGCGCGTATAGTGTCTAGGATATGTGACTCGTCCTCCTGCTCCGCATTCGAGAAGATCGCGCGATAGACGCCCAGCGACATATTTTCGGGTATTGAGGGTGACGAGAACCATATTAGCGGAGGCTTGCCGGAACCTCTCTGCTTCTTCCTTGAGGCAAATTCCTCGAACTCCGGATCCGAAATCTTGGCCTGCTTCTTCAAGAGTACGCTTAATGTCGAGTCCTTTGTCTTCGCCCCTTCTTCATCTTCATCGTCGTCGGATTCCGATGACTCAGACCCTGATATGCTCTCATCCAGATCTCCGATGAGCTTCTCGAACTCGGCCTCGCTTACAGGCTTTGCACCTTTTATCTTTTGCTTCAGGTTGTACCCATGAAGGTCGGATCGGACGTGGGCGCGCTGGTCTGCAAGGGATGCGAAGCTGAGCCCACAGAGGTTGCACGATGTGGCCTTTGCCGGGCTGCTGCTCTCGTCTTCGGCGGTATCGGGAGAGTCGCTCGCCGCCACAGGTGTTGGAATCTGTATCTCTTCTAATGGCTGCTCAGGCTGGTCCTTGAGAGTGAGTGTGGCCAATAGCTCTTCGGGAAGATCAAACACTGCGAATGTTAGTTCCGTGTGGAATGGGGGAGCAGGTATCTTACCATAGAGAGGGCGCTGCAATAGATAGTCTCCTTTTTGGGCCATTGTAAATTGTCGAGAGTGTTGGTCAAGTGTGGTAGGTGGTATGCGATCGTGAGCAGAAGATTCGGAGGGGCGCGTTGTAGGTTGAACATGACGTACACCGGCCTTACACGCGAGTCATCGGGCGCCCAACACGCTAATCCCTCACCAGCGCGTTCAGCCCTTCACCACCCACCAACCCTGCAAACGGATTTCACGCGTCAATCACCAGAAACCACGACCAGGACATGAAGGTTAAGCTAAAGCGCCTTTGTTTTCGCGGCGTTCCGCACACAAATTAGATTACGCGTACTCCGCATCAGCCACCTGCACAAACACCCACCCTGGCTCTACGTAGTCCAGCAACTGCAGAGGATCCGGCCCCTCAATATGAGCGGGAATTGATACGAAGTCTATGCTGCGCTCGGCAAAGCACTGGTGTAGCTTTGCAAAATCTGGCGGAAAGTGACCCAAGAAAGGTGGCCAGTCTACTACAGCAACTCTCTTCAGAGACAGCTTCGGAGAAGCCATCTCAGCGAGATGGCGCAGCATCTCTGTCGGGCCCTCCCACCCCTTTGAACCCCAGTGTTCTTGCCAGTCAATCTCAAAGCTCACCTCTTCCAGTGATGGTGGAAGATGATGAACTAGTTTCGCAACGAAATCGGAAGTACAATTAATCGGCTCGTCGTCGTGTGTGATCAAGCCCATATCCAACGAGCGAAGATTTGTCATATTCGAAGCCAGGCGTGCTATCTGCAGCACGTGCCCCTGACAAAGCATTTGTTTGTCGCCCCGGATGGAGAGACGCTCAATCGTTGCGCGGTTGTGTATGAACGCTCCCGCAAGCTCGCTAAACTTGGTCAAGAGGCTTGGAGAGTATATGCCGCGTTGATCTGCCAAGGAGAAGATGCGAAGTCAGCGTATGCCTTATATTGAGTTCGTACAGTCCTGTTATTACCATTATTGATGTCTTGTTCGTAGGAGAAACTCTTCAAATTCCTGCAAGCTTCGGTGAAGTACCTCAGCGTCGGCACCTCCACAACGGATCGTTTCAGCGTGATTTCCTGGACTTGAGAAGATGCGGGATCTAGCACAGTCTGAATCGGAATGTCTTGGTCCCAAGCCGGGCGTTTGTTGTTCTGATCGAGGAGCACTAGGTCCGAAGCGGTGAAACCGTGGAGTGAAGGAAGGAGGAAAATGTATGCTATGGCTTCCAAAGACAGCGGACCGTGTATGTTGATGCTCTTCAGGTGTATGAAACGATCTGAATGGTTCGCTATAGTCGTGAACCAGTATTTGTCGTCTGGCCAGAAGGCTTTGTCTGCGACGACAAGTGTATCAACATTCGGGGTGAACATTAGAAGTATCTCGAGAAACTCGTCATCGCGTCGTGTGCCAGTAGCATTAGACATCAATCTGTCCTTTTCTGGTAGCTCCAGAATCCTAATGCATATGAGGAAGACTGCTTGATTCTCCTCAGTATCGTCATGATCGTCGAAATTGTGTTTCCACGTGAGGTTTCGGACTCGATTCCCAAGCTCTGGATTTGCACATAGCGTACGTAACAGTGGCCAAGGACGTCGTACGAAAAGGTTTCTGTACAAATGATCGAGCGAAAGGGTGTACATCCGACGGCTGGTCAGACTAAGGTGACATATGTCCTTAGCGTTCTCATTGGGAATGCGCTCGATGATACTCATAACCAACTCGTTGGGCAGAGCATCGAAGGGACACGAAGATGGTACAGTGATCGACATGGTGGCTCGAAGGTAGCATGCGCAAACGACACTGCCGCAGATGGGTCATACAAGCGGCTTAGACTTGAGATGCATCATGCAAGAGGTATTTCACTCAAATTTAAAAGTAAGGTGGTCTTTAGATATGGTGGCATAGCACACGAGCTTCCCCGCGTTGGGACGCTAATCCTTAGCGGCAGTTAGACCGGTCAAGCACGTGTTGACAATAATGGCGAATCATCTGCTAACATTACACCGATATACAAGCGACTCAAACCCCACAAAGCTCTTAGAAGTATCCTAGCCGCCTGCAGCAGTCGTACAAGAATGCAATTTTGCCCAGCTTCATGCGGTTGTGGGTTGGACTTCCTAAAGGCAATGACCCGCAAAAGCCCCCGTTTTGTGTATCCAGAGCCAACCAGACTCTACGTCTTCTTTGATAGCCAGTGGCTCCTCACCCTCAATATCTTCGTAGACTACATCGAATTGCATTCCTGAACGTTCATATACCCGCTTCAGATGCTTAACCTCGTCCGGGAGGGGAAACCAGCCTGCCAGTGCAGGCCAGGCGATATAGATCTGTTTCAATCTGGACGTCGAAGAAGTAGCGGCTTCGACCAAACGTGATAAGATGCCGATGAGGAATTGTAGCTTGGGTTCTTGGCCTAGCCCATAAGTCCACTGAAGCCGCAGAGATTCAAGAGTGTCTGGAAAGGTCTTGACAATCTTTCTCGCTATAGGATGTAGGTCTTCAAAGCGTGGGGACTCCGATTGATTGAATGTCTCAATATTGCAAGGACCAATATCCAGAGTACGGAGTCTCGGGAGTGTAGGTCCGGTAACATGATGACATAGTGATGACAGCTCCATTTCCGTCACCACCGAGTCTACTCGTAGACGTAGGTTCTCGAGAGAGCTATTTGGACCCCATCCATGATGCCCGACCCATGTGAGAATACCTGGCGACAATCCAGAACGCCATTTCAGATCATGAGAGACGTGTTCGTAGTCAAAAGTCTTGAGTTTGTCGAGCTCTTCGAGAACGATCATTGCCGAATGGATGTGTAGGTCTGATTCTCTTATAACCAAGCGTTCGAGAGATGAGCCGTTAGCCAGCCACCGATCAACGTGGGCATCGCCGTCATCGTCCCAGGGGAAAGTCCTGCCAGGCTCTCGACGCATATCGACGGCCTGAGTAAGCTCCAAGGTTTGTATAGAGGGCAAAGTCAGAAGCGGTACAATACTTTCTAAGCGTAGAGGACCTAGCAGAGTGATTGATCGAATATTTCTGAAGTGAGCTGGATTGGCAGCCAAAGTCTTGAACCAGTAACAGTGGTCATCCCACTGCCATACATCGTGTACGGTGATCTTTTCAACTTTAGGCGTGAAGAACAAAAAGAACTCCAGGTACCACCAATGTACTTCGTGATCAGAAGAGAAGCCTATGAAGCGGGTTGGTAGGTCGGTAGAGATATCCGTGGTGTCCAAGATGGCCCCAGAGCTTCTGAGTTTGTTGGCAACGGCATGCCTGTCGCCTAAAGGCAGACAGCGGCGTCTGCATGGTCGGCTCCAATAATCCTGATACCACACCACCTCTTTGACATAGTTTGTGAGTTCATGACAGTGGGCTGAATGAGACAGCGTTATGGTACGCAGGAATTGCTCCGGGGCGCAACCTGGAAATCTTCGATATAGCCGGTCTAGTGTGAGGCGATGAAATCGCCAACTCGTCGCATTCAGAGCACGTAATGTCAAGTAATCATCTGCATCCAGCTCATCTAGGATGAGAAGGATCAATTCGTCGGGAAGTGCAGGTGCGCCCAAATTCAGGCGCGGTGCTAGTGCAGGAAGGTCCATCGTTGCGATGTTGTGGCAGATCCGTTGGGCGAAGGTCTAGACAGGTTTGCATGTTACCGCCAGCGTAGTATGCATGCGAAATCGCTGCTAAGACGATGGGAGGTACCTAGGTAGATGACAGCGGGATGGTGGCGCTGAGATGGCGCGCACGAGCCGCCTCCTCCGGTTCCGCGGACAGCGGCTCGATCTGCAGGGGCCCCGATGTCACGCTACCTAGGCATTTAAAGCTTCAATGCTCCTTCACAACGCACTGGTAAGCAGCTGGCCGCCTCCTGGCGAGCTCTTCAAAAGCACTGGGAACATACACGCACACGTAGATGGTGGTCAGCTTCGACATCACCAGGGCGACCTCGGGACCCTTCATTTCCCGGAGACGCGCCACATGGCGACTTTACGCATCGATCTCAGTGCCAAGCAAGGCGTACATACGCCCAAGTCGTACAAACTATTACCTTTGCAGCATCTTACCGTACCTAGGTAAGCTCTCAATGCCTGAGCCCGATGCACTTCATTGCCCGGATCTTTGGATGAACAACATTTATCACCCGCCCATACAGACTCTTTCATCGGCAGGATCCTCCAGACGGGCAGAACCTCACGAAATTTTTGCTCTCAAGTACAGCCCGTTTGGCACCATCTTCGTCTCAACGCATTTGTTATACAGTTCCCGCACCTTCCTATAACGTGTGGTCCTTCGCCACCCTCAGATGCATGTATACGCAAGCTGGAAGCCTCTGGCATGCAAACTACTTATCAAATGCTGGTCCGAACAACCCTGATAGAATCTGGATATGCGATATTAATGATGAAAGCCTGTGGCTGCAAGCGTGTTCTACACTAACTATGCGCCCGCATGAACAAGTGCAGTTATGCCGGGCTCGCATGCTTTGGTGTAACCGCATCTCAAGTATAAAGAGTCATGGCATCTCGCAATTGTCGTCTACGAGGCACTGACTTCATCCCAAAAAAGCTTCTGCCTCGCCATGAGGGTTATTTTTGCATTTCTGCTCTTGGTTGGAAGCACCGTAGCACAAGCTCCGAAAACCGATGCGTTAGCCAAACACGGGCTTGATCAACTATGGCTTGATGTGGCCAAACACCCCGATAGCTACACCAGGAACTGTACCTCAAATACAGTCGCTCGGCGCCGTGATTGGTATGTTCATGCAAACCTCAAGGAGGATGCTACTCACACCCCACAGGTCTAAGCTAAAGCGTTCGGAGAAGCTGAACTACATCGAAGCTGTTCACTGTATGGGAAAGACTAAGGCGAGAACTCCAGCTGCAGTTGCCTCTGGAGCGATAAGTCGTTACGATGACTTTGTAGTCACCCATATCCTGCTGACACAGTTCACGCATGGAAACGTATTCTTTATCAACCCGTAATACGCCTTATCAGAATGACTAACATTGACAAGGGCAACTTTTTGTCGTGGCACCGCTACTTTATGTGGGCATGGGAGCAGACTCTGCGTAACGAGTGCGGGTATAAGGGCTATCTTCCATATTACAACTGGGCGTTGTGGGCTGATCACCCCGCCGCATCCCCTCTCCTCGATGGGAGCGACACGAGTATCTCTGGAGATGGGGTGTATATTGCCGGTCGTAATGCTAGCTGTGTACCTAACCCAAACCGATGCTTTGTGGAAGTTCCACCCGGCAATGGAGGTGGTTGTGTTGCCTCTGGGCCCTTCAAAGAGTTAGTAGTCATTCTCAAATGCCTTTATCAGGTCCAGAATATTGACGGCAGTCCAGCTGGAAGATGCACATCGGACCAGTATCCTCTCTCGACACCACCGTACCGCCAAACCCATCCCCCGACGGTCTGGGCTACAACCCCAGATGCATCAGACGCGACATCAATACACGCTCATCATCAGAAACCACCGACGCTGATGTCGCCGAACTAATCACAGCCAGCGCCAACATCTCCGCTTTCCAGGACACGCTCCAAAACCCTTCTCCTGGAAAACTTCGCGTTCACCTTGGTGGCCACCAGACAATCGCTGGTGACGCGGGCTCAGACTTCTACAACTCCCCGTCCGACCCATACTTTTGGCATCATCACGCCCAGATTGACCGAACTTGGTGGATCTGGCAGAACCAGAATTTGGAAGATAGGCGGTTTACTATTGCTGGAACGCTTACGTTTCTGAATACCCCGCCGACGAGGAATGCGACGTTGGATGATGTTATGACATTCGGCGATTATTTGGGGTTTCCGAATATGACGATAAGAGAGGCTTCTAGTACGCTTGCTGGGCCTTTTTGCTATATCTATGAGTAGAGAGGTGATAGAGCCGGAACCGTCAGTTCAGTACATGTATTCATCTAGATAGCTTGCCTAACCTCTTCGACATCCCCGTCAAACCTTCGCATCTCTTTTTCGCCCAGGTCGACCTGTTTTAAATCTGATCGGTGACCGCAATGCCCATAATATCGATGTCTCACCGGCATATAGTACGAATGATGTGTCGTAATCTCGCCACGCAGAATGCTTGTGGCACCGTAAGCGTTCGCCCCGCATAAGCCTACCATGCCTGAAGATGTAATCTGCTGCATCGTCAATCATAAGTCAACTGGCAATGCGTCCAATCGCGCCAGTACGATTAGCGTTTTATTGAAATAAGATCGACACTTGGCATAGTCGAGATACGGGTCGTAGATTGAGTGATAGGCTAAGTGGAGAGCAGGAGATCGAAAATATATGTACAACGCCATTCACATGTCTACCACGTCTCTTGGCGATATCTACCACTCTTTTCCATACTCACGAGATAATTCTCTGCGTCCTCCCTGTCCATATTCCCATGTTCTTGAAAAGCTTCGATGAGCGCTTCGCGCACTGCCTGGGGCATCTTGCCCGATGACCCACAAATGTATAGGATGCCGGATTTATGGAAGAGGTGAGAGAAAACGAGGGAGGATTGCTGCCGAATGACATCTTGGACGTAAACCTTTTGACGCTGTCATATCGTTAGCGTAGACTTGAACAGGGTGGAGCTGGGCACTGACCTGGTCTCGGGAGAACGCCGCGAAAACTTCTAGGGGCACACCAGAGGATTGAAGCTGCGCCCACTCGTCCTTGAAGAAGTAGTCTGATTCAGCGTTACGACAACCGAAAAAGAGAAGATCCTTTACACTTCCGTCATCTTGCTGCGCGTGGCCGTTTTGTAGCTTCTTATGCTCCTCGCGCCATAGTATACGTTGGTATATCAGAGAACGCATGGGAGCTACACCTGTGCCTGGTCCAATCATCACGACCGGTCTATTAAGTTCCTCTCTTCCTACACCCAGTCCGCCTCGCGAAAGAGTGACTGTGATCTCTTGTCCTGGAGTGAGTGAAGCAATATATCGCGTAGCAACACCCTGCCTAATTCTTTTAATGACAGTCTTGTACTTTACAATCGCGATCAAGAGCTCAATCTTTGTCCTATTCTCCGCCTCTGCGTCAGGATTCATTGCGCTTGCGATGCTGAACTGGCGACCACGCAATGCAGGGATGATGCTGCATACGCGCTGCCAGGGTATTTTGACAGACTCAAACTCCTGTAATACCTCTAATATGCTGCGGCGCGGGCGTGTAGTGTAGTCGTAGAGTTCGTCAAGGTACTGGGGGTCGGTAAACTCAAGTAGTCTTGCTTTGTGAAACTCGTCGTTCGTGTAGTGCGCGAGCTGGGCGAAAAATGACCTCCGTGGTATGGCGATGATGTCGAGATGGTTAGTCAGCAGCTGCCGTAGGGTAATTAGACTACCTGGCTCCAGAGTCCGGACCGGCAAGGTGGTGTCAGTGGGCGTTGAAGGCGACGAAGGTACGAAGCGAAGTGGTATATCAGCCTCGGAAGTCCAGCCCATACACTCAATGAACTGCGATACATCCGACGGGAAGTTCTTGGGGTATATTGTGAGTACATCGCCTGGACCGTAGGGATGTGTCTCTGGTATTTCGAACTTGATATGCCGTACATCCTGCCAATGATTTGTTGGAGTGACTCTCTCATTGCTTGTAATCTTCGCAACCAGTCCAACACTTATGTTCAGGAGATCTGGTGGGGGAACATCCGTCGCATCGCCATTCAATGCAGGTACAGCATTGGTGTTCGATGAAGATGTTGTATCATCGACGGCAGGCGCAAGCAACCATTTCGGGTCTAGCAGAACATCGTCCGGTATCGGCTCGACACCATCAGCGAGAGGGTAAGAGTCAAGGAGATGTTGGCGCAGTTTCGTCGACCATGGTAGGAAAGATCCGTCGATACTTTGGAATAGTCAGATATGCGCCGTAATTGCAATGATGGCACAAGTTTTGCTGCATACGCAGTTTGACAGGCAACATGAGACGATGCATCAGGAAATGGAAAGAAAATCTGCAGACGCGATAATCGTGTTGACATACCCCTCTGGATGTTGCTCGTCCGACTCTCCGCGATCGCAGACTGGCTGCGCTCCTAGCTGTACGAGGCGATTGTAGAGCTTGCGATGCGCCCAGTTGTACTTTGGATAGGACGTATCACCAAGACCAAAGGATGCAAATTTCATCTGACTCAAGCACCCTGGTCGCAGCCGAGCACTTCGGATGGCTTTCCAAAACTTCTGGCTATTGGGTGGCAGGTCACCCTGGCCCGTAGTGGAAACGGCGATGAGAACGACATCGTGTTGCAGCAGTTGTCTCTACCGACAGTCAACCATCGCTCCTTGCACGCGACACCGCCACTGACATACAAGAGTGATGGCGTTGAGCTCAGCGACTTCCGTGTGGAATCTCAGTCGCTCAGCAACCCTTCCCATCTCCTCAGCCACATCCTGCGCGTTCCCTGTTTCCGAGCCGTAGACAACCAGTGCGCGGCGCGCTTGCAGTGCACCTGCCATGGCGGTAAATCAGCAATCAGATTGCGGTGAGGCAGGCTAGCCTGGACAGGACTCGAGGAATGGGAAAATTGAATGGCAGGGCCCCCGGATCCAGTGCATGAAGAAGCGGTGCACTAGCGGACACGTCAACGGCAGGCGGGTCTTTTTCATGCTTCTAGCGGCAGTGGGCGGTGGGGCGGAGGTGAAGCTGGAGCGCCATGCAGCCAAGCTCGAGGTCTACTGTGGCGCTAGGGCGAGCTGTGGCGTCGCGCTTAGCTAAGCAGTGGTGGGCGTCGCGTGCAGGCACTGCAGTCGCACCAGAGCATGCACATATGTGCGTGCAATGGGTGAGAGAGAGTGACTGTCCTCGCTGCTTGTGCTGCGGCGAACCCGTCCATGCGCTCAGCGGCCGCCTAGTCGCCGTTTCCCCTATCCATGCACTCCTGGTCGCTGCTCTCAGGCAAGTGGGCCCTCGACTGTGCGCAGGGGCCGCTTCCGTTACCAGATGCGGCCAAGCCCCATGGCTGCGCTCTTCAAAATAATCTGCCTGGTCGAGGCCTGCCCTCTCTCTCCCCCATCAAGTCAACAACAGAGACCAACCACGCACCCCATCAACCCAATCCTCTCTCAACCTTCCCCGGGCTCGTAGCTACCCACTCCACACCCCCCTCGTCAACAGTTCCACCAGCAGGCGGTTCGGCAATCCCATCACCCACCAACCACCACTACTGTTCAAGGTTACCTTTACCGGTCTACTAGGACTCCAAGTTTCGTCAACCTCTTACACGCCCGGTCTATCACTCGTGTTCGTCAACCACCCAAACTTCAGCAATCATGTCCGCACCTGTCGACAGTGTCACCGCCCAGATGGCCACCACCTCCCTCAACGACAACAACGCTCCCACCACCACGGAGAGCACTGGCGCTCAACAGCCCACCGCAGCCGAGGACGAGGCTGTGCGTGCGAGCGCCGCTGAGGGCAGGCGACTTTACATTGGAAACCTCGCGTACGCGACCACCGAGGGGGAGTTGAAGGAATTCTTCAAGGACTACCTGGTGTAGGTGGACCCTGTTTCTCCGCATGACGCAACTCGTCCAAGCTAACACGTGGTGCAGCGAGTCCACGACCATCCCCACCAACCCACGCACCTCGCGCCCCGTCGGCTACGCCTTCGTTGCCCTCTCGACCCCGTCCGAGGCTGAGCGTGCCATCGCCGAGCTCAACGGCAAGGCCATCCTCGACCGCAAGGTCTCCATCCAGCTCGCCCGCACTCCCGAGGCCCACGCTGAGGGCGCCGGCAGCGGAGCCGAGGGCAACACTGGCGAGGCCCGCCGCCGTACTTCCACCCGTGGACGCGGTCGCGGTCGTGGCCGTGGCGGCCGTGCTGGACGCGGCGGACGCGCTGTAAGTACCTCCGCACCCCACCGCCTGTCTTCACAAGCTAATCAAGTTCTGCACCAGGCCGATGCTGAAGGCGCCGAGCAGGTCGAGCTCTCCAACGAGGCTCCTGCCGACTCCACCCCTACAAATGTACCCGGCCAAGTTGCTCCCCTGACCGAAACTACGAACGAAGCGCTTACCGCAAAGAAGGGCGCCGACAAGTCTGCTCCCCAGGGGCCCCGTGAACGCAAGCAGCGCGGTCCTCCCGAGGACGGTGTTCCCTCCAAGACAAAGGTCATGGTTGCGAACCTGCCGTACGACCTGAAGGAGGACAGGGTGAGTTTGCACATCCCCTTCTCACAGCACGTGCTAACTGGTGAATTAGCTTCTTGAGATCTTCAAGGACTACTCCCCCACCCAGGCCAAGATCGCCCTCCGCCCCATCCCCCGTTTCATGGTCAAGAAGCTCCAGGCCCGCGGTGAGCCCCGCAAGGGCCGTGGTTTCGGTTTCGTTACCCTCGGCTCTGAGGAGCTCCAGCAAAAGGCTTGCTCCGAGATGAACGGCAAGGAAATCGAGGGTCGTGAGATCGCAGTTAAGGTCGCGATCGACTCCCCCGGTAAGGAGGACGACGCTCCCGACGCGGCCGCCGATGGCGAGGCTCCCCTCACCGAGACCACTGCCGCCAACGAGACCGACAAGGTCGTTGAGAACCCTCCCGCCACCTCTACCCCCGCTGCCACCTCTACTCCCGCCGCCTAGGTAGCGGCTGCTGCTTAGACGCGCGTCATCCTCGGCAAGTCGCGTCAGACATGGCATTGCGCTGTGGATTTGTGTATCGAAGTTTCTGGCCCATCGACATCTACCATTTACCTTGATAGAAAGATATGGGCAAGCGCCTTCAACATCTTAGTCGTTTTAGGTTATCGGGTTATCCGCAAAAGTGCGAATTCGGAGTCTGTCAGGTGTAATATGGTGGACTATCTCGGGTTCTTTACGGTTACGGAAAACTTATGTTAGCTGGCACGAGAGATGAGATATCACATGAATGAACAAACAAACAAACCTGCCGTCAATACGACGGTTGATGAATGACTTTTCTACTCTGAGAGTCTCGTGTTTCTTCCCCTGTGATTGCGAGCTGCACCCTCGCAAGACACCCAGGGTTGTCCCGAAGGCGATGGCAAGGACAATCGTGATGCGACTTTCCATGTCTTGATTCAATCAACGATGTACTAATGTGCGCCGTGTAACAAGAATTGATGGGCGGTGCATTCGACGTATTACTATTGTATCCTAAGCTCTTAAAGACATAGGAATGAAGTACATTGGGAATTATATAATATCTTGCATACCCATTATATCAGCTTTGAACAATGTTTCGCGATGTATGACAAAGAAAAACGACCTTAGTGGTGGAATACATTCTTAATCTTGTTTCCAGTTTTCTTGACCCAAGAACCGATTTTCGCCCAAAAGGAGTTCCAGCCACGTCGCGTAAGTAACACCTCATCTCTACCTTCGATGCCCATCTTGTCTTCTACTCGAGCCGTTGGCGTAGGCCAATTGAACTCTGAGAGAGTTGCGCCGGATGGGCCTGAGGGTAGGCTGACTGAAGTGATGGAACGGGTAGGAGTCGGCAAAGGCGGTACTGATTCTGTAATTGAAGCAGATACTGAGGTTAATGCTGTGGTATCTGTCGTGGATGATACTACAGATCGACGCCGGCGACGTTCGTATCCTGATTTAACTGCTGAAGCTATAGATGTCGTCAGAGGGAGTCAAAATGTCAACCTGGTCAAGTGACTTACTGGGTGATGGAGTACCAAAAGTAGCTGGTGCATTGATGCTTGAGAGCAAGGAGAACTCCACTGTCAAAGAAGTGGGCACCAGAGACACCTTCGCCGGCTCAGACTTCTTGGAACCGCCAATCAACGTAGCTGTCGCAGACAGTCCACTATACATGGGCGGAACAGTACACTCGCCGTCTGCTCCAACGGGCCCGGCATCGACGGGAACAGGACGACCGTTGTTATCAATATCAGCCATGACAACGCACCAGCCTGTCCCACTGGATATCGCTGATGGGCCCGCTTCTTCTCCTGCTGCTGCGTACGGGTATCCTTGGAAAGTCGGAGGGGAGACGCATTCCCCGCCTGATCCTGCAGGCCCACCTGCGACGGGTATAGGTGTTCCATCTCGGTTTATGTCCGCAACTGTGACGCACCAGTTGACGTCGGCGGATATGTTGTTCAGAGCAGCAATCGCTGTGGTTTTGGCAAAGACAACAGTTGTTGCTGTGGTCTTCACGGTGACGGTGCTGCGGCCTGTTGCTGGCTGGTCTTGTGCTGGGAAAATTTAGCTTTGGTAGGACTTGCGTTGGATTAAGACATACCCAGGAAGCTCACGGCATCATTTTGGGCTGTTGATCGGCTCACGCTTGCTATTGTAGTCATTGAAGGCTGTGCTGTCACTGTGGTGATGCTCGTCAAGGTAACTATTACAGTCACGAGAGATGGCCCACCGGGAGCTACTACCGATGGTGTGATAGGCTGCGGAGTTACAGAAGTCGTGCCGGTCACCGTTACGTGTACTGTGTTTGATGCGATCGCCGAAGACACAGAAGGTGGTGATATAGGCGTGGCACTCGGGATGCTTGGCGACCCAGAGCTGAGCGTATCCGGCGGTATTGTTGCAATAGACTTGGATGATGCTTGTGAGCTAATTGGAGCTTCAGCGGGTGGTTTTGGCTGAGGGTTTCCGCAGCTCATATTCTTGATCCTTGACTTTCGAGAGCTTGGATCAATGACACTCCAATCGGCCTTCTGATCCGATGTAGTGTCTTTGAGTAACTCGAACCAGAAAGTAGTGTACTTCCCAAATACAGTACAGCCAACCTCACTCCAGAACTTCTGTAGTTCGTCTATACCGGCAACTGCAGCGCCGTGTTGCTCGGAATCGGTAAAAGGCCAGCCCATTTCTGCAATCCAAACCGGTCTGTTGCCTGCGCGCTGCTTGACTCCCTCGAGAGAGCCTTGGAAGCTTGTACTTGCTGTTCTGATACTGTCTTTGTTCCAGTACGGGTATGCAGTCATGCCGATGAAGTCCGCATTATCCACCACTGCATATTGCGCGGTATCAACGTGGCCGATTGGTTTGTCCTTCATGTACTGGGCGAACGATGAGGAAGCGATGCTATTCTTCACCTGAGCTATGGTCTGCGCAACGACCGCTGCGGTAACACCAACTTCTTGAGTCGCCTCGGCACGGTATACATCCTCGTTGCCTACAGAGAGTCCAATAATAAGATCGGAAAGAGCTTGGCCGTGCTTCTTAAATCCTTTCTCGAGTGCGGCCATCTCATTTTTGACGTTCTCATCAGGCGAACCGCCCTTCTGCGCTGGCGTTATCCAGAACCCCAGTAGTAGGTTGGTTTTGGAGGCAACAGCGGCATTGAAAGCTTCGGTCGGCTCGTCGAGGGTTTTCGCTGCTCTGCAAGTAAACAGGCGAGCACTGTCGAAGGGTATGTCGGTAGTCAGGTTCTTGGCCAGGTTGAAACCATCGAGGAAGTCTGCTTTCGGTTTGGCATTTTCTTCCTGACCCCAGAAAGCACCGTAGTTGAAGCCTGTATAGACTTGATTC